CTTTTTACGCCTTTTTCAAAAAATTATACTTTACTGGATTTTGCTGAAAGTTTCCGGTTAGTAATGAACTGTTCATTTCCTTTATGCTATCAAAAATTCAAAGCCCATGTAATTCAGTCCACCAAAAAACATAGTTCAATGGCCTCTTGCTCTTTGGAGTTTTCGCCCCCTTATAAGAGTGTAGTTTGTACTCGGTTTACTCCAATAGGAAACAATGGAGCTGCGAATTTGGGGTACTTAAACGCTATTACACAGCTGTGCAGGACAATTACGGGCGAATTTTGGTCATTGCAGTTGTTGGTCGCTGCTTAAACCAAAGATCTTATTTGTGAGAATAACTCATGCAAGAAACATTCATATAAACAAAGGATGCTATCTGAACAAACTTCCGCGGAAGATACGAAGATAAGCCTTAGACTTGATTTAAAACAAAAAAAAATTTTGTTATAATTTCTTATTTCTTCTCCCAATTTATTCCCACTATTTCCCACTTGCAATTACTTCAATCTTCAGTTAACACAAACCTCATTGGTTGATTGAACAAATTTTCTACGTTGGGGAAGTGTACACAAGCTGAGCATACTTCATATAACTTACTTTTTTGATGATATACTCGGGTACCGTATTGGCTGCTTCACTGCCATATACCTATCGAATGATATGGCCAATAGGTTATAGATTGAAGCTGTTGAAAACCATACATCCGCTGCTAACCATAGTCGACAACCAAGATCACCGAAAAGCCAATCATTGCTATGCTCCTAGAAAGGCATAATAAGTAGAGATTGCGATATTCCTTCAACATTATTCTCTTAAACCCTCAAAAAGCTTTTAACCTCCCGAAATAACCCCGAAAAGATCTAGAAGACAAATTGAGGGACTTTAAAGCTTCATTTGAATCGCTGCCGCATTCGGACTAGAAATTAATGTGTAAAAACGCGTAACTACATAGCATGCACGATAATTAACATAAATAAACAATATGACGCTTGTCAAAGAAAACATAAATAAACGGGTAGCAAGTGAAACTAATCGCAGCTTAAAAGCTTGATGTCGCAATGAGAATCAATGTTTTGCCTTGAGTAAAGTTAAAAGAAGGACAGTTGTTCCTCATGTCATTTTTTCAGGAAATTTTTATATTCACGTAGTTCACCATGCGTCGTTACACGAGAATAAAATTCTCAAATCAAAAAAATCTTTATGTAAAATGCTGA